TCAGTCCTAAGACTGGTTGGACACGCACCTCCACTCTTTCCTATCCTGAGCTAATCTTCGCATTTCCCTAAAACTAGAACAACCCACATCCTTAACTATTTGCGAACAGTAATCTAATCTAAGTATACCTGTACGCCTCCTAACTTACGTTTCTGTCTCTAATATGTCTCTGACTAGACCTTCATGCCTGAGAAAGTGTCCTACCAACCTATCTCGCCTATTTCTTATTGACTTCCACAGACTCCTCTGTTCTCCTATTCTTTCTAATACCTCTTCATTTCTAACCTTCTCTATCCACAATATCCTCATAATTCGCCTGTGACACCACATTTCGAACGCTTCTAACCTATTCTTTTCCGCCGCGCCAGCTGTCCATGTTTCCCACCCGTACAGCGCCGTGTTCCAAACATACACCTTTAACAACCTTTTTCGAATTTCTTAATTAATCGTTCACGAGCACAGAAGTGACTTCTTTCTATTGAAGGCGACTCGACCCTGCGCTATTCTCTGCTTTATATCCCTACTACTCCTTCCGTCCTGACTTATCTGACTTCCTAGATTTTCGTCTCCTATTTATCTTTATATTCGCTTTCCCTACGTTTTCTTCCCTTGCATACCAGGATTTTTGTTTTACTTTTATTTATTTTCATACAATACTGTTTTGTCAATACCGCTTCCATTTTATTTAAAGCTATCTCTAACTCCTCCTTGCTAGATGATAATACTGCTTATAACGGAGAAAAGTTGGTCTAAGTTTTTCGACATTTTTCGATTAGATTTATTCAGAAAATACCATAAAAAAGGCCTGAAGTAATTTTTTGGCTAAAGGTAGATCGATTAAAACATTTTAAAACTAGCGCATTGGATTTACGCTTAGGTTCATGAAACGTAGGCCTAGAAACGACGAAATTTTAAAAGTAAATAATATTTCAACTGTCGTTTCTACACATCCTGTCTTCTGTCGATTGTTAAAACCTATTTTTACAAACCTAGAATGTTCCTCATCATATTTGTAATTTAAAAATCCTACCTTATTGTGATCCTGTTGCTGCTGAGACTGTTGGGATAATTGTTGTTGCTGCTGGAGTTGCTGTTGTTGTTGCTGTTGTTGCTGCTGCTGTTGCTGAACTTGTTGTTGTTGTTGCTGCTGCTGCTGCTGCTGTTGAGATTGTTGCTGTTGTTGAGATTGCTGTTGGATCTGTGCCTGATACTGTTGCTGCTGCTGTTGTTGAGACAATAACTGTTCTCTTACCATTTGCAATTGAAGAATCATTTCCGACAGTCTCCTTTCTTTTTCTAATATACTGTCCCCTGAGAGAACTTGCTGAAGAGCAGCAGCGCCATCTGATTCTCTGAAATGAAAGAAACAATAATAATTAAACAGATATACAAGAAATTGTTAGTAATAAAACAAGATTGAAAAAGTGAAATCCGGCTCGAGGGACCAAAATTGAAATGAACAGGGACAAAGTTCTTCAAGTGTTCGTAAAATGTTCGAATGCTGAAACTGTGTACGTATTTTCGTTTGTGTAATTATTCAAAAAAGGAAGGAATAAATATGCTATTAAAAATTTAATTCCATATTAAATGATTTAAAAGGCTTCCTTATTCTTGTCCTGTTTCAGTAATTTAATTAAATTCCACTCCCTTCGACCATTTCACATGTTAAGACGTTTATATACATACATATACTTATTTTTGTGTATTTTGGATGGTTAAGATAATTTTTTAACCCTTAATTAACATAATTAATAACATTGCCAATTAATAACCAGTTGAAAGAACGTGCAATGCATTAATCCATTGATTAATTGAATTTCTAGCCAAGATTTAGTTTATAAACAAGGAATTAATTAAACACTGCATTAATAATTCACATATAATATCGAAGTCGGAATGCAAAAACAATTTTTGTGATCTTGACACTGTGAGATAAATTACAAAATTACTTAAACAGTCTTTCATAATATTTTTTTTGAATCAAACTCGAAAGTTTAATAGATAAATGTTAAAAACAGAACATAAATTAAAATATCATCACTAACTTTATTTATTTACTCATGCCCACAATCACATTCGAAATTCACTTATATCTTTATATAAATTGCTTTATGAATTATATAACTTATTATATAAACCGACTTTTAAACTGTAAAATTTTGTTTATCATTAATGTCATATTTGTTGTAATGTAACAGTGTACTATTAACTGATTGAATCAAACGCATTAAAAATAAGTATCATTTTAAAACCAATGTCTGCAATTTTTTACATTTATCTATTGAATTTAATTCAAAGAATACGGAATTCTAAGTTGGTGCTGAAGTATCTCGGACTCTTCCAACAGTGACGGAACAACTATTTTATGATATTGCCGAAGCATCTACATGTCAAGTTCCTTAAGATGTTCGTTTAGATAGGAGACGAAATGTCGAACACTTTTGTCGCCACCATGATCCATCACGGTGATTTCGTCAATAAGACGCGGTTAGAATTAGGAAATCAAACAAACGTGAAGGCCTATCATCATCATCATCATAAGGTCGTCAGTTATAAGACTGTTTGGACATACACCTCCACTGTTTCTTATCCTGAGCTAATATTCGCATTTCCCTAAAACTAGAACATCACACAACTTTTTGCGAACAGTAATCTAATCTAGGACTACCTCTACCCCTCCTAACTTCCGTTTTTGACTCTAATATGTCTGTGACTAGACCTTTATGCCTGAGAAGGTGTCCTACCAACCTATCCCGCCTATTTCTTATTGACTTCCATAGAGTCCTCTGTTCTCTTACTCTTTCTAATACCTCTTCATTTCTAACCTTCTCTATCCACGGTATCCTCATCATTCGTCTGTAACACCACATTTCGAGCGCTTCTAAACTTTTCTTTTCCGCGGCACCCACTGTCCGTGTTTCGCACCCGTACAGCGTTGTGCTCCAAACATACACCTTTAACAACCTTTTCCGAATTCCTAAATTAACCATTCGTGAGCATAGAAGTGACTTCTTTTTATTGAAAGGGACTCGACCGTGCACTATCCTCTGCTTTATATTCCCATTACCCCTTCCGTCCTGACTTATCTGACTTTCTAGATACCTAAAATCGGCCACTTCTTCTAATTTTTCGTCTCCTATCTTTATATTCGCTCTTTCTCTACTTTTTCATCTGCAAAGCATACTAATCTTTTGCCCCTGTACGTCTATCCCATCATTTATTCCACGGAGTTAAAAGCACACTACAAGCGACACGTTTGTCAAAATAACAAGGGAGGTATAAAGTACAGCAATTTTTGCTACAAATTAATAGCTATTTTAGAGTGCATCTATTTTACATTCTACAATAATGAAAATGTCTACAGTCGAGTGTCTTTTTCTTGTCACTCAGCTGAATAGTTCAACAATGAAATAATTTCTTTAAGCTATAATGCCATTACGGAATCTTGACTGCTCTTGCTTTGAAGATGTAGGCAGTTACTGAAAAGAAATTTCTTAGACACCGGCATCGTGGGAACAATCCACTAAATACCTTCAGGCACTTCAGGCACCATTTTACGATCTCCTTTCGAGCGAACTGTATTCCGTATTTGCATATTTAAAGCAAGACGGCATTAGTGTGGATGCTGCCTTTGAGAATGGACGTAATATTCATGACTTGTGAAGCGTAACCACTTTAATAATAATTAACTTCTCACAATTACTATCCAAACTGTGATAAAATACTTTGGATAAACGCAGAAAATGGTATAAGGAATGACGGATTAATTGATGGCCATGCATATATATATTCGAGGTAAGTTTAACAATAAAATGTCCACAGTATCACGTTAATCGAGCTCTGTTCGAATATAATTTATGTAATACGAATATACGGGATGTATATCGGGTATCAGACATTAAACATTTCATTTGCAAATTGTTGTTTTTTAATGGCTAATGAGGGTCATGCCGATATAAGGATTTCCCCGTAGATTCCTCGTGAAAATCCCACAAAAAAGTGGTGATACTAAAATGTAATTGTAATGTAATTCATTAAAAATATAGTTTATTTTTCCAAACATTTTTAATGGGGTAGTAATTATTTTTCCCCGCGGGGGCCACATGCGGCATTCCCGTTGATGCGCAAATGAGGCAAGGCGTAATATGTCCCTTTCTTGCCCTAGCGGGCAACCTCATGGGGCCCACAAGAGGTAAAGTCCATTTTAATTTGTTAGAATTGTGACCTTGAATAAATCTGCGCGAAGATAGAAAGAATACACACTAGGCGTGAGCAAGACAGAAATAGTTGGAACAAGCCCGAACGAGCAGAGCTCTCGATGGGCGGTCTTAGAAGATCGGCTAGAACTGTACAGTACTAGACGAAAATGTTTAGCAATTTCTTAAAACAAAAATGTATATAAATTAACAATAGAAAACAAAGCAAAAGTATTATAGGTGTGTAGAACGTTAAGTTAATTCAATTGTTATTATTTTTGGCTAAATATGCTTTTAAATAAAGCATATTCTTAAATTTTAACGAAATAGTTTAAATAATTTTGCATATGGTACTGTACACTTTTACCTAGTTATCGCTTGATGTTCGGTGGAGAAGTGAGCTCCGCAGACAAGTATGATTGAATTTGGAATTATGCTACGGCGCATCCTAATACAGGGAAGGGCCATATCTCTAACTTCTTGAAACGAACAGTAGTAGGCTACCCACTTAGAGACCCTACTTGCACTTCCCTCAAAATTGTAGTAGGGTGAATGTACACTGACCGATCGAACGGGAGTGAAATTGCTTCCCGCCATTGGGAAGACAAAAAATTTTAACGCATAGCTTTGAATGTAATTTATTACTTATTATTTTATTTCTGTATTTTACTTTTATTCATAATATTAGCATGGTTACTTAAGACATAAAATCGACCAGTGGTAATTAAATTGATAAGAAATTGTTAAGTGAAACACGATTAATTTACCTTTTGCATAATCAATAGTTTCCTATTTCTACGTGTTTCTCACACTTTACTAACAACGTAGACGAAAGTAAAAAGCTGTTCACTAATAATATTAGATACCTACACGTTCAAATCTTATAATACTCATCAAGTATAAATTTATTCAACCTGCTCATACATATTATTCAACAAAACAGTAGAAGTTCTATCATTAGGCGAGTCCTTTACGGTAAAATTTATTGCAAACTCAAGCGTTGTTTTTGTTACGGCAACATTAAATTAATCTAATCAACAAAATGAAACAAGACGAAGTCAAAATAGTATGCGATGGTAGTTAATTACCATTGTATAATTTCAATTTTAAATTATACCGTTTGCCGGTCTGCCGGGTTACATTACCTAGGTGTTGCCTGCTTCAGGATACTAATTATACGTAGGCAGGTATACAACGCGATTAATAAAACTTTGAATTCAAAGGCAGAAGAATACAGAGAAAGTAGAAAATCTAAGTCTATAATATTGAAGAAATATGCAGTTTACTCTTATTATAGATTATAATTGCTTGATATACCTAATTAAAAAGGTATGCAGATGATTTGAGCAACTAATGAATTTAGCTAATAATCAGTCGCAATCGAAAGTGAACTATAAATGATAATATCTAATGGTTAAATAATCAAAGTAAATCGAAAGGTGATAGTTTATATTTAAAAACAATATAGGTAACTACTCATTTAATCAAATAATTCACGTTACTTACATCTGTATGTGCTTATTCCATAATAATCGATAATAATTGGTAACTAAAATTAATAAATCGATATAATTAATCCATCAACTTCAACTTCTCCAACGGTCAAGATCAATCCAATATCGCGCATGCGATCGAAATGAATTATTGAATTTTATAAGGTTATCCACGAAGCCGGTCAGACAGAAATCGGAACGACGACGTTGGGTGATGAAGATCGGCTGCGTATAAATAAGTGTTGTATATTGCTGTCTATTAATTTCATTTTTAGTGAATATAAGTACCATGAATGTGCCTACATATGCTACAAGTGCACGAAAATATTATCTTAACGTTTGATTTGTATCATTAGTGAAAAGTTTACGTTCATATATAGACGCACCCCTTTTCCGATTATTGTCTACTTACGGATACACCCTAAGGCACGATTCACACTATAAGTAACACCACCATCCCGTTTTCGTTCCGTCACCATACGTACATTTAACACACAGTGCACACAATAGGCACTACCAATAAGTAATCGTTACACATCTTGTACGATTTGTTCGGCAACTGTCTTTAAAACGATACAGTTGACGCTGGAGATTTTTTATTATATATGTATACAACAACAGCTTATCACGCCTTGAAGCCGACTCTTTAATTAATTAATTAAT